TCCTCCCTCCCTCCCTCTCTCCTTACCTTTGTCTTTCTCCCTTTCTCTTCATCCAAATATAATCACTTCTACACTGATACCTATAAGGCCACATTTTAAAGGAATTGTAGAAGTTTGAGGAATGCAAACTCACTTCAAATTGTATAAATTTCCCATTCTGACTGAGGAACTGGATCACTGGCAAAGACCTCCCCCAATGTGCCTAGCGATGTGACCGTTACACATGTTGCTTCCTTCTGATAACCTCGATGAAATGAGTATATGCTGATTACCCAAAGGGTCTCAATGCACTAACACGTGAGCAGTAGACAGAAATGGAAAACTGAAAAGAGTAGGTGAGCAGATTTTGGAGAGTGAAATGAATAATGAATAAAAACAGTAAAATAATAGAATATGAGCATGAGTCTCAGCAAAAAGGGGTCCAATAAAGCAGAAGGAACATGTCAAAGTGATTGCCTGCCTTCCCCACTGAGGCTCACCTGGAATTGATGTTCGTGAGTGGCGGCAGGGTGCGGACAAGGTTCATTATTGAGGAGGGTTGCATCATATCTGTAGATCAACCTATGAAGATATGACATCCTTGCAATGTTGAGTTTTCCGATTCATGAACAGGAAATATCCTTCCATTTAAATAGGTCCTGGTTTCTATAACAGGATCACTGCCTTGTTAAGAACAGACTGAAGGAAAGCAAGTATAGAAGCAGGAAAGCCAGTTAGAAGATGAGTATTGCAATCCAGGCAAACTATAATGGTAACCGAGACTAGGATAGCAGCTTTTGAATTTGTGAAAAGTGGTTAGCTGCTTGATATATCTTGAAGATAGAACCTCGCTCATGGGATGTGCAGTAGAGAGAGAATGGAGTCAATGTTGACTTCATGGTTTTTGGCCTAAAAAACTGAGATGGGGAACAAGGAACAAGTGGAACAAGTTGGAAGATGGAGTGGAAGTCAAGGAGTTGTTTTCTGGACATGTTGAGTTTGAGATGCCTGTTAGATATTCTAGTGGAAATGTCAAGTCAGTTGTTAGAAATGTGAGTCTGAAAGTCAGTGAGAGGCCTGGGCTGGAACTATGAATTTGAGAGTTGTCAGGGTATAGATAGTAAATTGAAAGGACTAGATGAGATCACCAAGAAAGTGAATACAGAGAAGAGAAAAGAACCAAGGACTGAGCCCAGAGCCCTATAACACTTAGAAATTGTGGCCAAGAGGAGGAACCAGCAAAAGAAACTCTAAAGTTGTCAGTGAGACAGCAGGAAATCCAACTGAGTGAAATTCTGGCAGAGACTCATTTTCCAGGTGTTTGTTTCTTAGGAGTGTGGGTAGGAAGCCATTCTTGGTGGCTGCCTTTAGACTGATCCCATCTTTACCATAAAGTCTTTAAACTATCTGATGCTGATGCAGGGTTTTCTTTTCTTGAAATATGTTTTTATTGATTTCAGAGAGAGGAAGGGAGAGGGAGAGAGAGATAGAAACATTGATGCGAGAGAAACATCGATCTGCTGCCTCTTGCATGCCCCCTCCCAGGGATCGACCCCGAAACCTGGGCATGTGCCCTGACCAGGAATCGAACCGGCAACCTCCTGGTGCGTGGAATGACACTCAACCAACTAAGCCACAGTGGCCCGGCAGGGTTTTCTTTATATTGGTGTTATTTGGTGACATCTGTAGGGATCTGGTAATGGAAAGGGAGTTATGGGACTGTTATTACATATGCAAGTCTCACATTCTTTATTAACAACATCCGTAATAATTTCTAGGATTTAAATACTTTATGTGTCCCAGGCACTGTACTAAGTCCTTTACATGCACTGATGCAGCTAACCTTTCTGTCAGTCTTATGAAACAGATTCTATTATTGGCCTTATTTTACAGATTAGGAAATTGAGACACAGAGTATAAGTAACTTTTCCAGTGTCACACAGCTATTAAGTGATGGAGTAGGGATTTTAAATGGGACATTATGACTCCAGAGCAGCTTTCAGCCAGTACTTCTGCAAACTTGAAGACATAGAAACATATATGTATATATATGTGTGTATGTATATATGTGTATATATAATGTGTATGTATAATACACATTCTTAATTCCATCAATCTCCATCACATATTTCTGAGATGGGAGTTATTCTCTCACTTTAGGATGATGTTGACTCTTCGGTTTACTTCTCAGAGACAGCCTGACTTTTGACATCTCCAAGTTCTTGGGGGACACTTCCTTCTGGTCCCCAAGAGCATTTGCCTCACTTATCAACAGCAGTCACCATTGTTAGGCTTAATGGCACTGTACCCCCTGACTTTCCACGTTGCAAGATGGTTGTACCCTCAGGATGAGCCAGTGTTTCATCTTCTTGCTCTTTGAATGTTGGGATTCTCTAGGGCTTTATACTTAAACTTCTCTCAACGCTTGCAACCTAGATAATCTCCTCTGCTCTTATAGTTTTGACTGTCACCTTTAAGCTGCTACTTCCTCCAAATTAGATCTCATTAGACTCTAGATCCACATATCTTGCTGCTTTATAGACAACTCCTCTTTCTTTTTTTATTTTTATTTTTTATTTTTTATAGTTATAAAACATTTTAAATATATTTTTATTAAATAATGATGATGGGTATAAGTTTAGGTTTTGTTCTTAATATTCTTTCTTAACACAATAAAAAGTCAGCAACTCCATATTGATCACTAACTTTATTTTTTTATGGAAATCTCTTTCATTTCAACTATTAATCTTGATTTTTATGTAACATTGTCACACCCATCTGACAAGTTTTTAATCCTGTCTTAACTCAACTTTCCTCTCCATGCCCGTACCTGATTGACTGACTGTTGCTGCAGAAAGTCATGGTTGCCAATTCATGGTCACAGATCTCAAACAAACCCTCAGTGCTGCTGGACAATACTATCACTCCTCTGTCTACCCTGTTCTCCTGATCATCACAAGGGATGTCTCACACCTCTCCTCTCCTCAAACCTCCAGTTCTGTCTTCACCGTCTCTAAGCTCATGTAATAAATGCAACAAGTATTTGTTAATTACTTGCTATATCTCTTCCTAACTCACAGACAGAATTAAAGCTATCATATAGAAACTTCTTCAAAATCTGGTCTGATTTTCATCTGTTCTGACTGCCCAACTAGACTTACTAGCAAGCCTTGCATATAGAAACTGTGTTATGCTTCTTTGTCTCTCTGGAGCTGAGGGCAGGGCCCCAAGGTGCATAGACACTTGGACCCTAGTTTAAATTGATGTTGTCCTGTATTTCTCACTACCCTATCTTGTTTCTTGCAGCTGATGTAGAAGGCCAATCCTTAAGACATCGAGACAAGCGGCTAAGTTTAAATTTGGTGAGTTTGGAACCTGAGTTACTTTAAACCTTTGAAGTCTTTTGAAACTCAGCACTCTGAATCTCTGAGGACCATTCCAGCCTTCCCTTAAGGCTTGAATTTGTTTGGAAACAACTGGACTTAGTGTTCTATAACGATGCTGCCAGTTCTTATGGCTCAGACACTTGCCTGACTTGGGGTAGCTTCTGAAGGCATCACTCTATACCTAAAGCATTTGTATCAATTCATAACCCTCTGTCTTCCAGCATCAGTTCTAAGAAAGTCATCACCTACCTCACATAGTAAGTCCAGAAGCAGAGCTTGAGTAAGAGGCTTGTCTGACTTTCCTAAGGAAGTTCAGAGTTATTCTTGGATAATTTGCAACCGAAACCCTGTGTAGATGAGGCTGCCCACTGGTAGCAGTTTCCATGACTGTTTTATAGTTTCCAACCTGTACCTATTCTCTTGCAGCCATGCAGGTTTTCCCCAATGTACCCCACAGCTTCAGCCAGTGCCGAAGACAGCTACGTGCCTATGGGCCCCCAGGTCACCACCTCTGGTCTCAGACCCCACTGCAGCCGTGATGACTACATCCCAATGAGCTCAGGAAGCATCTCCAGCCCATTGCCTAAGCTACCTGCAGACCTGGAACCTCCCCCAGTGAATAGAGATCTCAAGCCTCAGAGGAAACGTAAGCCATTTGACCAGGCCTGCTGTGTAGGGAGGAGAGCAGCCACGTGGAGAAGTTTCCTTCCTGACTCTCTCTGGGAAGGAAGCACTAGAGAAACCATCCTAGAGGTCTGGGAGTTTAAGGGTGAGGAGAAAGGGCTGGAATTGAATGGGAAGAGCTGGGGAGCCTTGCTGCCCCAGATTATTATGATAAAAGGAGTCAGGATTTGCAAGCACCATGGTCTTGCAAATACAGCCTACAAAGCCAAGTTCATTCCAGAGAGCTCATCTTTGGCTGTTTCCCTAACAAAGGCCCAGAAATAAGTGATGGATGGGAGTGGAACCTACCTGGCATCTCTTCATTTAAACAGAACTTGAATGTAATCACAGTGCCCTCTTCCTATGAGGCAGCCAAGAATGACCTTTGACACTAATTTCTGAATGTCAGACCTGATCATGTGCAACTTATCACTCAGTGCCCTGTGCATGCCTATTAACTGAGTTGTTTCAAGTGAGAGAAGACTTTGGCAATGAGTAGCTTGGCTCCCATATGCACAGAGCTTCCTAAAGCTTCTGCATTGCTCCCAGGCAGCTTCTCTGGTCTGCTAAGCAGCATGGACAGGCAGGGGGAGAATGGAGAAGAGGGAAGGAGGAAAAGCAGATCAAAGTAACTTTCTAACTTCATTCTTGCCCACTATCACTTGCCCAGTAGGGCTATGTGATCCCAAGGAAATATTTGGTAAAATGACTGATCTTGGATCCTCACATCTGGTATGTTCCTACCTCTCTTTGCCCTTTGGAAAAAACCACTCCTTCTGGTGGCCATGCCCAAAGCTGGTAACTAAATCCCTTACTCATGTCTGGTCCCTTTCAGTCTCACCCATTCAGTTTGAGTCAAATCACATTTACAGTGTTTGCTGTGTGTGTAGTGCTGTTCTAGGCACTGGATGGGATGCAAAGATGAGGAAGCAAGGAGGGTTCTTCAGTATGAGAGGAAAGAAGATATATAAAAAACATCTGGAAGAAGAAGAATTATGAAGTCTGTACTAAATAGGAGAACAGGCCCTGTCTTATGAGGTTCAGAGGAAATAACCATTCATTCTGGTCAGAAACTATTTAACAGGGACCTATAACTTTGAGGTAGACATTATTTTTTGCTCAGTTAATTTTATACAGCAATGCTGCCCAACAGAACTTTCTGTGATGATGGAAATGTGGCTATTGAAAACTTGAAGTGTGGCTAGTGCAACCAAGAAACTGAATTTTAAATTTTATTTAATTTTAATAAATTTAAATAACCACACGTGGCTTGTGGCTACCATATTAGACAGTGCAGCTCTATAGGACCTCGTGATCGGAGGCATGAACATGTTGGCTGGACTTGGGATTAGAGATGCATTGGGTGGGTGTGAAGGTGCACATTTGAGCCAGGAGGCGCTGGTTTTCTGACAGGTGTGGGTACAGGGATGGACCCTGGGGCCCAGTGGGGAGAGGGAAAGAGGTGAAGCTGGGAGGTGGTTACTCAGTGTCATGGCACCAGGAGAGACCAACCCCAAAGACTATATGATTAATATGTCCTTTCCAGATCACCACCTTGTCGAGGTCTGAGGCTCCTGGGAAACTGACTGAGCAACAGGAAAGTCACTGTACTAGGGTCTGGTGAAATGGAGAGGAGTTCAACAGTTTCTACCCATGTAGTCTAGCGGGGGAAAGATACAAAAGCAACCTGGTCAAAGCAGCGATAAAGGAATACATGCATGACAAACTCAGCAAGGTGTGGGCCACTGAGGTGGAATAAGGGTCAGATGCCAAGGCTATTGCAGTGAACAAGTCAGAAAATCCCCTGTCCTCTCAGAACAGATAATCACAGGTGAATGTAT